AAGACACCAAAAACCTTATTAAAATTCTATATGTACGAATTCCAGCAAATCTTTAGGTTTTTGGACAATGAACAACATAGTTCCCGGACCATCCAGTGCTAGATCGTGAAATCAAATATCTAATAATCAATGCAATCCTTGATGATATCATCTCAAAAGACAACGAAAACTTCACAACAAAACTATTTATTTATTTACTTATTCAATTACGCTTGTTACTCCCAATTGAGCACAAACCGCAGACCTGCACTCCTCAATTCACTCTGTCTTTGGCCTTTCTTTGTAGTCCTATCCTAATGTATCTCTCCATTTCTCGGCTTATGTGTTCCTTGGGTCTTCCTCTTATCCTTTGACCTTGAGGATTCCATGTGAGGGCTTGCCTTGTGACGCAGCTGGGTGCTTTCCTCAATGTGTATTCTATCCACTCCCAGCGCTTCTTCCTGATTTGTTCCTCCGCTGGAATCTAGTTTGTTCTTTCCCACAGTAGGTTGTTGCTGATAGTGTCTGGCCAATGGATTCGAAGTATTTTGCGTAGAAAACTGTTAATAAACACTTGTATTAAACCATATGGCTGAGAAATTTTATAAGCTATGAACTTTGCAATTCATTGTTACGTCAATTTCTTAAAACCTTGGACTACGAGAAAATAAATGTTCAATGTTTTCCCAGATGGTAGTCGAAACACCCTTGAAAATATTATCGAATAAAATTTAACTACTTACAAGTAGTTAACAGTGAGTGACCAAAAACTAATGATGAGGGTGAAATGCTTAGGAAACTAAATTATTTCGTCTCATAAAAGAACACTTACTCACATTTTTGTAAGAAATCCAGCAGTGCATAAATGTGAACACGTAACACAAACTGAAATTCATCCCTTTCATTCGACGTTTTAAACGAAATTTTATGTCCGATACTATACAGAATATCAGAGTACAAAATGCAGTCTTCACAAATCGTGAATTTAAGATTTCCTGACATGTTCTGGGCTAAACGCAGAGAATACATTGATTTATATTTTTTCTAGAATAGGAAATTTCGCTAACACGATAGTCACCGAATGAGACATAAACATGATCTGTTTAACAGAGATTTTGGTTCTTTTTGTGCACTCGTAATCACCAAGACCAACTCATTAATAACTTTCGTAAAAGTTATGTGGAATACTGTACATAATAGACAATATTTTTCCAACCGGCTATTTTAAAAAGACGGTGTGAAAATATAAACCCGGCATGATTTTTAATGAGAATCAACTATTGATGAGTAACAAATTTTCTGTGCCAAACAATAATCAGATTGATGATCAATAGAGGTTTATATTATTTGTAGTTTATTTTAGAAGCAAAACAATTATCAGTATAGGGTTGTGGAAATTATTACAATTTCGATTGAGATCATGAACCGATTGATGTTAGACCACCAATGAAAACTTGGAAGCACTGGACGGCTGTTTCGTCCCATCGTGCGACTCCTCGGCGGTGTACATCCACGATCCCTCCTGTTTTAGAGGGACAGGTATCTACCTCAACGCAATGGAAGATGGTCGTACAATTTCGTGGTTTGGTTGAGGTTAGACATTAACACCGTTGGATGCCTGTCGGCTCAGACTGAACGCCCTTAGTTCGAATCCCACGGGCGAGATCGTGTATGAGTCCCGCAATAGGACGAAACAGCCATCCAGTTCTCCCAGGTTTTCAATGGTGATATAACATCAATCGGTTCATGATCTCCATTAAAACAATTGTATTTATGTTTTCAACATTGTCGCTTTCAATTAACATTGTGACAATTTCGGATGTGAGTGACTTTGCTTAACTTATTCCATTTGATTGTGTCATCTGTAATAAAGCTAAAACATGATTTTAAATGTTCGAAAATAGCTCATTCATTGTGTTTGCCTACTCACAAACATGAGGCTGCTACACGTTTGCTTACATGATTTTAAAGCAATGTATTTTCAAAAGATTTAAAAAAGCATTGATAAAGTAAAATTAGTGAAACGAATACTTTTTGTAGTTCCTTTAGGATCACAATATAATTAACATGATTTGTAATAAAAACCTGTCTAGAATAATCGCAGTTATGTGTAATGATTAAGCTGATTATATAATATGAAACACCGACCATTATATTAGGTCAAGGGGTTCGGTGTGGTAACCCTATAGTTTATCATCATTTGTGTAACTGTTTTAAAACTACTAGGCATGACTGGATAATATTTATCAGGATTGAGTTAATGGCAATCATTATTGATTATTTAGTAAAAGGTGAAGAACGTTGAGTTCAGTCAGTGTTCCAATATGACCCGTAAGCAAATGCTCTGCTAAACAGCCAGTAACTGATAAAGCGTGCATGAGAAACCATACTAACTCATTTGTTACGTAGGATAATTGCCAGTGCTATTATATGATAAATTTGAATTTTAAAAAATCTTAACTGGTGAGTTCAAACTTAGTAATTTGTTTATGTCTTTTAATATGATGTGGATTTTTTCACAATGAACAACCCATTGAGTTGAAGACGCTCAGAGTTCCTGAACTGTAACGTAAATTCAACTGAAACGAAAACTGCCATGGGATTTATCAACAGCTGCATCAAATCAGGTCGCTACTCATTACGACCGACGGAGTCCATCCTAATAGAAAGACACTGAAACGCCACACCCTGAACCAGATTGACGCCTTGCATTCTGATATTAAAGAGGTGTAGATGAATGTTTTTCGCGGAAAATACTTTGTGGAAGACCTAATGCATGAGTTGAGGGTACCCACTATGAACTGTGTTACGAACGCTACAGAACAGAGAGCAGTGAAGAAACGTTTCCATCTATTGAAAGGTCTGGGATATCAAACAGTTGAAAACAAATTTCCCGCCGATTCCAAAAGATGTGTCCATAATTCCTCAAGTGTTAAATTTGACGTATTTTCCTTAGGTCTGAAATTCTGTGATACCCGTAATCGCTCTCACCACATAGATACAGATACACAGTTCGAAAACCTATAAATTCAGACACGGGATTTAGTTGCAAATTCTGACCAACAACTAAAACATTCGGAATCAAATATTGTAAACTGTTGTTACTAGTATAAGAACAACAAATTCAATTGCAAAATCATTCTCGCATGAAGAACAAGAAGGCTATTAACATGCTCCTAAAGAATGAAACGTTAATGATTACGAAGCCTGGCAAAAGTTCAGCAGTTCTTCTTGATAAAATGGGTACCATCTTAGATGAAAAATTAAAATTTCAAAAACTAACCGACCAGAAATATCTCGATGACAAGATAGAGAATGAACTAATGAGATCTTGTCAGAAACTCAGAAGCAAACAGAGAATCTCATCAGACTTATACGAAATGATTAAACCAGTGGGAACTCATCTGCCAAGGTTGTATGGATTACCGAAGGTACACAAGCCGTGTATCCCATTGAGACCAATTTTAGATATATATAAATTCCCATAACATACTATAGCTAAGTGGTTGATAAATATATTGAAACCTTTCAGTGACGAACTTGTAAAATAGTGTTACGGGTGTACTCAAATTTGTTGACAAAATCAAAAACTCAAATGCTATGGAGCAACCGACGATGTCTTTGGATGTAACACCATTATTCACAAACGTTCCAGTAATGGAGACTATATAATATGTATGTGAACAACTTGGAGAAAATGAGACCGAAACTGAAACTCCGATTAATGTTGTAAAAGTTATTACTGAAATACGCCATGAATGTGAATTTCGAGTTTAACGGAGAAACCTATAGACAAGTGGAGGGAGTTGAAATAGGCTCACTATTGGGTACCACACTAGCTGACATTTTTCTAGCCAAACTAGGAAATGGTCCACTCAAAAATTCACATTTTACTGTCGATATATGGATGGCACGTTCATCCTCTGTAAAGGTAGTACATCACAACTAGGAGTTATTAGGCAATTTAATGAAGTACAATCAGCCATTAAGTTTACATATAGGGAAGAAAGTGAAGGTAGAATAACCTTTTTGAACGTTCTCTTAACCAAGAGAGCTGACGGACTTATAAGAAAGAATTTAAAAAGAAAAAATACCTGAACAGTACAGAGAAACCTGATATAGTTGAGAAAGAGCTAAACGCCCTGCTTAATGCACTTAGGGATAACTGATATATAACCCCAGAAAATTTATGAATGAATATATGATCGCGAAAGTTCGAATAGGCGAAATACAAACAGAGAATAAGAAATCCTTTTCCACGGGCCTAAAATTCAGAGGGGATGCAGCTAGCGAAACATTAGTCCACAGATTACGCAGAACAACTCAAAAGTCATTCACCGCCGGAGAAATAGGACCAGTGTTTTATACACGCCCAATGGCGACACCGAGGCTAAAAAGACGAAGTACCTAGAATGACCACTTTATTTTTGTATTTATCAGTTCGACTGCTCTTGTGGAGCAAGTTATATTGGTTGGAGTTCTAGGAATTTACATTTTCGTGCTCGCGAACACCTCCCAGTATGGCTAAACAAAGGTCTAGTGAAAAAAGGGAGCGGTTCGATATTGGCTCATTTAGACCAAACTGGTTATAGTGCCAGCACAAGCCAATCTTTTTCAATTACTTATTGGGTGAGTCATTTTTTGCCAAAGCCTGTCAGACTTTTTCAAATGACGGAAGCAGTAGCTATCCAGATTACGAAACTGAAGCTGTGTACAAAAGAAATATCTTCAACCGATTCTCCCCCTCCTGGCCAACCTCAAGGCCAATTAATCAATAGTAGTCATAATTTGACTAACGTACTTACAACCTCTCTTAGACAAATATAATTGTGATCAGAAATCTCCATACTGAAAATATAATTTCCTTTTTTGACATGTGGTAGTGAAAGCAGCATGTGATTGTTCATTGAGCGTGCGTGGACAGACAGGCACTTAGCCTACTGACTATTAAATTTGTGCAAACCACCCAGCTTCTTGTACCTTACAAACTGAAAATGATTTTATCGGTTTAAAAAACAAAACAAGAACAACAAATTTATTTTATGTACTTATTACTTAATTCGGATGGAAAAACAGAATTTTACATTTTATGAAAAATAAACCCAAACGAAATAATTTATTACCATAACATAGAAATGATATATTGAATCGGTACACAACAACAGTACCAATTATAATGCACATCAAAGTTTATACATGTTATCTGTAAATTTATCTGAATTTAAGCAGTAGAAAGAGGTTTCCCATTTTCATGAAGATTTAAATCCCTTTCAACCAGCATTGCAGTTGTTTGATGCATAAATGGACGTTGTTCATAGAAATTGTTTATTGTTCGCTCTTTAGCTTCTGGCCATTCGCTTAAAGCGCTGAGTAAAAATTACATAAGAAGTGTGTGAAATTAAAGAAGAAAAGACCATTTAGACTAGTATAAAACTAAGACTAATGTTAAACCTGAGAGCAACAAAAAGACATAGGTTCAAGTTTTCACAGTTCACAAGATAACAAAACCACGAAATGAATAATGAAGGAAAGATGTTTAAAAAAATCAAAATGATATCAGTTAACACAGCATGAAGATTATTAAAGAGTGACTATATCAGCATCACTGTAGTACAGTCTAAGATACTACTTATAATCTCCGATAACATTCTTATTATCTTGTGAACAGAATAGACGAAGTTTGTACTTTTCTATACGACTCATACCAACAGTTAGTGTATTCCTTAACTGTAGATATAATGAAATGAAGTCAACTTTTTCAATATTTATGTCTTAATTTATTTAAATACCCAGATATATATAGTGACGTTTAGACTTTAAAAAAGAACAAAGGACCGAAAGTCGATTTCACTTGGATTCTGAAAAAAAATTAGATAAATACCCCTAGAATCGATAGATTCTAAATTTAATTCCAACCATGAATTGCGGATAGTAAATGAATTTTGAAATCACATGAACGTCAAAAACACCTTAGTGATTTATTTAATTGTAGTTGAAGTTCAATAACCAAGTGCATATTTGTTCTGTGTTCTCACATATATATGTTGTGTAGAATATCGATAGATATGCGCAATATTAAGCACCTTAATTTAGAAAACCGACGTTTTATTATTAGTTGTGAAATCCCCAAATAACCCGATATAAACAGATTCCGAAAGTTTACAGAACATGTTTACAAAACTAAAGAAACAAGGCGAACCTTGTATTTTTGAGGGCCTAATTCCCACAAAGATTAGGAACATGATAAACCAGCTGTATATTTTTCTTCAGTTTTAAATAACCTTTTAACTAGAACTGCGTTTATATGTCTTAGGATATTCTTAATCACTTTAGGTGGAATACAAAAAGATTTTTGGGAAATTTATTAAGAAATAACATTAAATGAATTATTAGTTAAGAAAATTATACAAAATATACCCAAATTACCGATATATGGTGCGGGTGTACTTCATACGACCCTGACTGTTTAAAAATTCAAAAATGTGACCCAATGCAGGTAAATGACGGGAAACAATGCAGATTAGACACCACCTAAGAACAAGAAAACAGTAAGACCCTCGTCAAAGAGACTAATTAATAAAAAAGGTAATTTAATAATGGGATGATGATACATTCCAGAAAAGTAATAAAAAAGTTATAAAGAAGAATATTTTCTTTATCACAGAGTTATTTACACTAAATACTTTTAAAAAATTATTTAGACCAACAGTGAGAGTCAATCAAGAAATGAAGAATATTATTGGAGGAGCGGAAAAATATTAAATAATTTACGTTACGTTTCTTAAATTTTCTACACTACAAACTATTCTTAGAAATTAAGAAAAAGTTAGTCATCCTTCTATGACTTGTGAATAACCTAGTGGGAAAACGAGAACGGTTTGATCAACTTTATTGGAAAATATTGTCTCCATTTAAAATATATCCCCATAATTACTTTACTTATTGTCCATTCAGAATATAACTACTATGTATTTGCAACTATGAAAAAAGGGAATGGATAACTCAACAACTGATTAATTGTTACAAACTCTTGACCCAAAACCTTTTTAATTTCGCCTCATTCTCAACAAATTGTCTTTAAATTTTACTTACCAAACGCAAAATAATCGATACCGTATTCATTGAAATATCAACTAACTAATATTTAACTGCTTCCAGGTTTTCAGTGGTGGTCTACCTTAAATCGACTCATGAACTCAAACATTAATATCTAAGTGCTTGAAATGTCCTCTGAAAAATTAGGTGAATAAGACTAACAAATCTATCAATAAAACACTATAAAAGCTACCTGACACCAGGGTTGCAATGATAATTAGCCTAGAAGACAGCAATCACAAAGTACTCGCGCCCAGTTAACGAGCAGTATTCCTAAACTCACGAGTGTTACGATGTGGCATTTTTATTCTGAGGAGCAAACTAAATACAAAACCATATGACTAGCCCTTGATATTTGACTAATGAAACAACACAGGCCTCCAAGAAACCGAGAAAAACAGATGCTACTGACACTGTGTACTGTAAATTAAGAACCTTATGGTATTTATTTAACCTCCATCACGCCTAGCAATCATATTTTACTCCCAATTGTCAAATGAAGAAATTGACTCGAAATGAATAGCTAAGTAGTATCACCAGCAAAACACAGAATACGAATTATCCATTCAATAAAACACTTTGTTATATATAAACAAAAGAGAGGAAAATATGTTTGTATTTATTTGTTCACATAATTTCACGAGTTGTCAGGATAAATATAAGCAGAGCCAAGCTTTGTTATGTTATCAACGACGATAAAGTTACGCTTTCTCTTCATAATGCCCAATACTTAGTAGACTATGTATATTGTGGCATTCATGTTTCTACACGTTTATAACTATTTCGTTGATGAAGAACAATTATGGTATATAATGATTTAGCTGAAAAATCATTTCCCACCATGTATTAGGTGGAAAAAATAACAATATTAAAGTACTTATTCCAGTAATTTGTTGTACGGTAGATTATCCTATGGCTAAACACACAGAACAAAATTTTGAGAAAACTATAAAATAAAGCAGGAACGAACATTAATCGTTACATTTGAAAAAAATTGCTTACTGTACTCGTATCTCAGCATTTTTCTGTTTAGATAACTGTAATAATTCATCAATTTTGCATAAGTTATTAACATTTATTGGTTCAGAGTCGACAACGTGGCGTAAAGTTAATTCACGTTGTACATGTGACATTTTATTCCATAGTTGAGTCAAACTTTGTATTTCAGTAACATTTGAACAAAGATCAGATGAAGTAAGTAATTTTTGCATGCTGTCACATTCTGAAAGCAACTCGTCAGCATCGAACCTTATGAGACAGTAAATTACAAGAATTAAACGAAATATTTCAATCCGTTACTATATGTTCAGTAAGAACTTGATGGTTGAAAGATGAAAATTTATAAATGATTGTGCAACAGTATCATATACATATTAAAGGTCACATTAGAACATGATGAGAATTATGAAACTAGCAAAATGATATAAAATAAAATAATTCAAACATAAACATACCCGTCAAGAGATTAAATCGAAACAAACCATACACATAGGTAAACAATGTCACTGAAACTCACAATCAAGAATATTCACCAAGCTATTAACAAGTATGACAATCACATAGATTACTAAGAAGCTAGTGCAAAGCAGAGGGGAGAAGTAACCCCTATCATATGGCTGTAAGAAATGACAATGTGAAGGTATTTGGTTGGAGCAGTATGTAAAGCACGTGAGTGGGTCTCTTCATTGTATCATCATTTCAATCTCCGACTGGGTTATGCAAGTTAGTTGATTAATAGACTTAAAAATTGGAATCTCATGAGATAGATTAGATATTCTGTACATACTTACAGTAATCAGTGACAAGTGTAGTAACTGATTAATAGTTCAGAGTTATTAAAATTTCTATACGGGATTCATAGTAAGTACAGTAAATAAATTCATCCAGGCGGCTCTAGATCATCTTATCTTTGAAGCTTTTACACTGAAGAATGTAGTTTCTCACATCTTTTTAAGTAGAGAGAATCAGGAAATTCTATATCGCTTTTGTTGTTCTTGCAGGAAGATCCAATATTTGGATGTACTCTACTAAAAATGTTCAAATCCTCATGTTTACTGGTCTTTTGAAAAATGATAACCGTATTATTTATACGAATTTAAAATTTTCTGAGCTAACTCAGTACCAGCTGGTAGCTCAATTTCCATTTTTACTAAACGGATATTGATTAATATAAAACTAGGAAAATATCCTTTTACAACTGCATCTGCATACAAATTTCATTGTTAAGCATAAAATAAGTATTTATTGTTTAGACATTTTGTTTAACCGAATTAGTTTTCATTTTATAAATTAATTACATATCTAGTCAGTAAATTCTATGATCGGAATATTTATAAACGAAATATCACTTAAATAAGAACAGATCCTTTTTTAATTCATTTTTTTACTTTGCTTATGAATTCAAATAAGCTTTTCACATTAAACTAGGAAACGATGTTATGTTTCTAACGGTTTAGCCAACTATTATTTTGTTAAATGATAACAGTGAGATAGAAGTGAATAAGTTTTAAAGCTATATCCAATTTATGAACCTTTAACTACTCATATTATGTATGCGTTTTAGAGTGTTTAAGTGTATCATAAGTTGATTTGAAATGTGCAGTTATTTTTCTCGTAATTTTTGTGTTTCAGTCAGCTAGCTCTCTACTATTCCTGTTATGCTATTAAAAACACCTAATTTTGGAGTTCTGTTCAGATAAATTATCAACAAAACCATTACTGATACAAAGAAACAGTAGTAAGGGATCAGAGATGAATCTATCACAATTGTGTAATACCACCTGAACTGCTCTTATGAGGGCAGTTACATAGGCCATATTTAAAAAGCATTATTTCTCCGCAGTTGCAAACCTGTACTGATTTGGACGATAAAATAAATTATTAAATCAACAAATGACAGTATTCTTTTCATCTGGTAAGTAATGAAGACTACACCACAGCAAAGGGCAACTCCCTCAGTTTAACACAAGGTTCCATATAATTTACTAAAGTGTACAACCAGATTATGGCCTCTCTATACGGTGGAATCACTTAGCAAAACCTGATCTATATCTATAATGACATATTCGTCCTGTTTCCTCACTTCCACCATGGGATTATTTTACTGATGATCGAACTGGTTAGCTTGACTGCATATGCTGAAATTTAAACTATTAGAAAAACTTTAGGCATTTTGAAAATGAACTACATGAAGAATGTTGGATCATTAATAATCTTGAATCATACTTCACAAAGTTATTACATGGATGGAATTCAGGAGAAATTTTTCAGTAAACCTAGTAACAAAATTTGTAGAACCCTCTGCATATATCAGCTAGTGTCTTAAGTGTTTACGTTATACTAACAATGATCGTTTATTGCAGTCGGAACAGAATCATTATAGTAAGATAAAGGTTCAGAAAAAGCGAGAACGAAAGATATAACTCTGAAAGAGAGTTCCACTTGGTGTAGTAAATAGGTAATAAGTTATATCTATCACATACGGGTTAATTATAATAACCGCTTCACATAGGGCTTTAAGTGCAGTGGATGTAAACTCGGTGAATAATTGATAGGAACTTGAGTCTCTAAACTTGTGGACAACGAACAATAAAAACTATTGCTTTGGGTTGTGTGTAAATATATAAATATATGATCGAGGAAGTTATGGTGGAAACTTATGCAAAATATAGTAAAAAAACGTTTACAGATGAGTTATAAACTGTCTTACTTTGGTATCCATGGGGGTAAACCTGGACTATGCATCCAAGCATCCAACTGATGTTTCGGGTTAAGTACATCGGAACCTAGTTGACTTGTTAAAAATTCCAACCAAGTATTTGAATTAAGTGATTTTCCAGAAAACTGTTTCACATAGGCTTTTAACCAATTCAGCATAGATTCTAAATAAGGTTTGCACAAAGAATGGTTTTTTAACATTTTGTACTATAAAAAGTTGCTCATTACATAAAATCTCCTTCAATATGTAAAATGTCATTACCTAATCAATTAAAGTGAATCTGATTGACCAAGTTTGCATCATTGTAAAAGGGGATAAAGATTTCTGAATTAAAGACATTTCAGAGAAGAATTCTATATTGTACCAAAATATAATATTGAATAAAGCCATCAATAATAATAATAATAATATATTATTTTTCTGGTATCATTTCCCCGAGATACAAAATCATATTAATAATAATATCAAATAGATAACTAAATTATTAGTAGAAGGGCAACATAACATTAACAGAATATCTGGGAGGAAAGCAATAGATTATTGTTTAAAGTAGAAAGATGTTGCGCGATAATCTGGAAGGCAATAAATAGAAACGACAAAGAAAGGACTCAATTCTGGAAAGCGGAAAACTTACAGTGAGTGAAATATGAGAGTAAAATTTGCAATTATGAACAAGGCGCTAATAGGTAAAAACAAAAAAATAAAGAGAAACTTTTACAGAAGTTACGTTCCTAGGGTACTCTTGAATGAGAGGGCATGCATTAGAACAACCATCAAAAGAGTGGATATCAATAACAGGGAGTATCAGTAAACATAAATCGCACAAGAGCGTGCACAGCAAAAACAATTTAATAACCTAAAAATGTAACGATAACATCGAAGGGTAACAAAAATTTGGCTTACCTTTTCCGTATAAAGTCTCTAAGTAGTAGAGTAAAAGAGATCCTTTTTCATATGGAATTCGACTATAAGCTTCGTCTGGATCAATACCTTCCAAGTCTACAATCAGCTTTGTCATTGGATCCGATGGGCCAAGTTTTTTGATCTGTTAATTTTGAAGAACCAAATAAGTCAGATTTTAGTTGTTAGTGTTTCCTAATCTGACTACTAAATGCAGTGTAACTCAATAACTTAGTGTACATCTGTGTATCAATCATAATCATCTAACTTAATGATATATTAGCTTAAACTCGTGGTTCAATAAATAAAAGTTGTAAAAGCCACTAGGCTACAGACCTATCAAAAGTTGTTTGTGTATATAGAAACCTTGTTTCCTACTTTCACATGTGCACTTGATAACCACAAAATCGACAGAAGTGCACTAATGCACATATGTTCAAAGATTCTCCTTGAACTTTATGACGAGTAGTTTAGGACAAGCAATCAGTATCTGCAGTGAGATTTTATCAAAAACCTATCCACCAACTTTACTCTAGCCCTCTTGAAGTATCTTAAATGATTAACACGCTCACCTATTTTACTTTCAATAGCCAAATTACACGTTAAGAACACACCAAGAAACAGCATTTGTATTTGGAAGGTATGAAATGCATTAGAGTACAAGGTGTACAAAAGATTGAATGTTGTTGTAGATTCGTCTAAAAGAACTGTACCTTCTCGATACTTTATGTTTATCCAGGTGCATATTATCAGTTCGTAAAGTAGGGAATAGAACGTCACATGTAAATGTATGTCTAAAAATGAGCATCTTCTCAAAGAAACATATTTGTCTCATACATTCTAATCCTTTGATAGAGTTAAATAAAGAGAGAAAAATATTTGCAGGACAAGATGAATTCAATATATTTCAAGACTTCTAATCAGCTGCATACGGCCTAAATTTATAACAAAAATATCATAAAAAGTGTTCCTACATACTATAATCAATCAAATTTAGTTCGAAACAATTTAAGAAACAAGAGGAATCAACATTAAACCTAAAATAACATAAATAAATAACAATTTTCATAAAATAAAAAAAAAAATTTTCAGAAATCTATTAACTATAAATTTAATCAACTCTATAAATACAATACAATCTAACACCCACAAAAAAAATCAACTAAAATTAAAATTACCCTAAAAAAAACACCTACCAAATAAAATCATAAAAACCCTAATAAAAACACCCCACCCCCCTCCAAAAAACTAATATCTTTACCAAAACCAATTTCCCTACTCCAAACCACCAATATCATAACACAACATCCTCCCCTCTACTAACCATAACCATACTCGACTCTAACCTCCCATCAAACATCCCCCCTCCCTCTCCTCCCCATACCCACTCCTTTTAACCCCACCATCCCCTAATAACCTATATCATACCCAATCACTACAATAACTACTCCTATCCACACTCCATCATAAAATCCCCCTCTAAACCACTTCCCACCACCCTTAACTCAACTCCCCCTCTTTCCCCCTCACCTTCACCATAATTATTCAACCTAATTATATCCCAACCCCAAAACTACTCATAACCCTAAAACAACAACCTCTCACATCAATTACTAGAGATATAAATTTCACTCACACACTAAATCCATAATCCCACATCCATAAACACCCTCCTACAATCACTCTCACTCTAAATTATCTCCCTCTTTATAATCCCATCAATATTACCTCTCTCTCGCAACACCCGCTCGCTCCTTATTCATTTAGACGAGGCTTTTTACGGATGATGAAAATCCGTAGGAGAGGAAAGGATGAGGAATAACTTTACAACAGCCCTTCAACTATTCATTTTGACGATGAAGAAGGTAAATTCGCATTAGGTTATAATCGGCTTGAAAAACGCGTCAGAGTTGCTAAACGATTGAACTTATCAGTGAAAATTGACTATATATAAACCCAAAAGTGTAATAGTATTTTGAACACCATATTAGCTGCTTTTGGTTTTAAGTTTTTTATTAAGTCTAGCTAACATGGCGATCATAAAAAAAGAAGTTTGTAGTCAGTACAGCTCAATTAAGCCACAGAAACATTCACGACCGATTTACCACCACAAGGGGGAAAGCCAAGGTTACAAATCTCACCATACAAGTAGATGAAAATGATTGCCAAGTGTTGCATAAGTATTAGCTGGTAATAACGACTGGTTGCTCATTATCCTCCACTAAAATTTATGACCTAGTGATGGCGGTAAAGATATCTGCCAAAGAATACTTCATTAAACAAACAAAAGAAAAATATCCAAAAACAATAGCTTTGTTGATTGCATCAATGAAATTCGTGGGCTGTGGAACATAAAGGGAAACAACGGAAACAAAAACATTCTAACAGTAATTTTAAGTTGGTAAAAAATTTAGCGTTTTACGGATCGTCAAAGTAATACTACTTGCTCCATAAATGAAGTGGTAAATAAAGGTTCAAAAATCCCCTCGTTTAATTAATGGGGTTTAGTTAAATTAATACACCTTACTTCTTCCAACAGTTCCTTGTAGCCTAAACTTAAATGAAGGTGCCTCATATGCGACCCATGAATACGTTCTTCAATTAAGCGTTCCAAATACACAGTATGTCCTTCGTTTAACCAAAAATCCTCCCAATTTGAATTTGTTACTAAATTACCAGTCCATGAATGAGCGATCTCATGAGCGATTACGTTAGCTAATGATCGATCACCAGCCTGAAATATATAAGCCGCAAAGGGATGATGTATTAAACATAAAGAAAATACAAAGAATCGCTACTGAAATAAATGTATAATTGTAGTATATGAATTAGCACAAAACAAGAGAAATTAGCCCAATTGTTACAATCAAATCTGAATATAACAGTACTGTCCTTTGGAGGAAAACTACGCTTTTCTAAAGGTAACGATTTCCACAGGTAAACAAGAAATAGATCCTTATGAATAGATCTTTTAAGTTATTATTCAATATTAATAACGATTTTCACTGATAAGTGGAGTAGAGAAAATATTAAAATAGGCTGCTATTTTCATTTTCTAAAACAACATACGTCATCATCTGACAACTTTCAAGCCGATAAATTGGAATTGTTCGCCAAGTCCATCCTTTTATGAAAAAGTTACTATTAAAATTACTATAGACATGACTATAGGTCCAATTTTATGATCACATAAATTTGTATTTTTTGATAGGTGAGTTTCATTTACATCTTGAAAAAGTAAACTGCACTGCTGAAGATTATTCTCCCAAAATTATACATTACTATACAAGTTTAACATGAACTGTACCATGAAGTAACAACAATCAGTAACTTTTTCAAATGTTCTCCATCAAACCATTACCGTTCAACTCTACCTTATCTACACTGGCGTTCATAGAAGCTTTCACCTATCCTCAGTGACTAATCTTTTTGTGTATTCAAGGGCTGCCGACAGCGATGTTTCACAAACAGCCTCAAAATGACTAAATCAAAATATAACAAGTATGACATATGCATACCATTGTATTCACGTTTGCACGATCAGTGGATGGAAATAAGACCAGAAAACAATGATATTATTATAAGTGTATTCACAAGGTATCTTTCATTAACTTCTTAAGTCTATTAGTCCATTCAATTGGTTGGTAGTCTATTTATATCATTTAAATTATTTTGATGGTTGCCTATTTTAGTCAACTTTGGTAGATGTGACATCCTGACTAATGTGACGGGTTTAGTGTTTCTTATATTGACTGTTATAATTAGGGAAAAACGGTTTTATTTCAGATTTTACGTGGTATCAGAAAGATAGAATAAAGCCAGTAGAGTTTGTGTATTTAAATTAAGAAAGTTTGTTTGAAACATGAATATTTATATGCTTATATTTTTTCACGTCTTTTTTGACTTCACATGTGATTACCCAAATCGTTTTTAAAGGAAATCTGACGATTGGATAGAAAATGTTATCCTTACTATCCACTATTTAATAACGACCATGTATGCATTATATATTTCTAGAATAAATCATAACTGATCAAAATACGACTAGAGAGTTAGTTTGTCGAAATGACAAATTTCTAAAATGTAATGTTAAAAAAACCAGCTTGTAGTATGAATCAACATAAAATTTATATCCAACAGCAGAACACACCAATAAAGTTGGTGAAACAAATGTTAAACATGGATTTTCCATTCCGCCATAGGGGAATGTTGGTGGTAGCACCAAGATATCATATATATCCCACACATAAGGTCCACAGATATTTTCAGCTGCTAAAATCATTTGTTCTGTTTCACTGAATTCATAAGCTGCTTCATCAACTATACTGGGTTCAGCCCATACAGACGAACGTGGACCAATTTTTCTACAAAACACAATTTAGAAATATTACAAGAATTAACTCTCTTTAAGGGATAAAAATAAAAATAAAGTACCGTAAATTACTATAAGATAATCCAAACTAAGGTTAGTGGTAATATACAGAAACTATTTGTACATATGCTATCTACAGACTAAACAGTATTTCGAGAACCATTAAAACTTGTTTGAATGAAATGATAGCATAAAACTAATCTGTGTTCGGTCTAACTAGATTTACGCAGACAGTTTTCGTGATATAATATTGAAATAACATGTATAAAGGTGAACTAAACTGATTTAATTACTCTTACAACTAAACGATGATAAAGATACACAAGAAAATGTTAGAATTGCAACAGCAGTACATTCATAGTAATTCTTAAATACGTCGCTTCATATAACCAAGAATGAAATGATGCAATACACACAGGCTTCCATGTTATGTAGCCACGAGCTTACCTGCTAGCTAGATCCCCACAAGCAATAGCGATCAGATAGCTGGGGATCGGAACACTCTGTTTGAAGTGGTAAGTAAGGTGGTTATCCTCGGTCAAAAACGGCTCTGCAATTCGTTTGGCACCCATGATGACAACGGTTTCCTTTGGAGCAGTTACCTTTTATCAATGATAAGACATATTTCAGTAAAAAAATACTCGTTAATTAAGTGTCTATTTGTGTGCAACTGAATCCTGATACAGAAATATCATTATGAGAAAAATGATGTAACTGTACCTCGCAAAAGATGTAATTTATTTTTGAAGGTCAAAATCAACTTCAACAGACCTAGAGGAATGCGACACTTTTAAACTTCATGTTAAACAAACTCGTTTTACTTGTTTAAATAATAGAACTTAATAACCAAGTTTGAGCTCATTTACCAGACTTTGAAATTTATTCTCTGTACTATTACGCCAAACTACAGTATATGGAACAGGAAATGGCCCGTGGTATCTGGACTTTTTAAATCAGAATAATTACCAGGTTGAAAACTTCTAAGTAAGAGAAAAGATTTTTATAGTTTACTATCGTACTTTTAAAGCTTAGATGATTCAGAAATAAATGTTCTGAAGAAATATATCCGACACATCTAGCACTAATTTTTCGGTTCAAGTCACAAAATTTAACCAGCATTAACACAAAATAACACCATTTATTCATGAATACTTGTATTCAAGTAATGGACAGTAGTTACAACCTGCAAATTTTTAATATTTAAAATACGGCTGTAACTATAAAATTCATTATATAAGTGAATGGGTAGTTTTAGGTGTAAATATTTTGGAAACCAATTCACAAGTAAAAGTAGGAATTAAAATAAGATAACTAGGAATACGATCAAAACATCTAGACGTTTTAGAATCCTACATATCAAAAATGAAATGATGTATAAGTTATGATTGATAAATAAACAAATTAGTATATATTGCGTAAATATGTTATATGATCTTCCCTGTTGCAAAGTCATATAATTGGTGATTTTTACACAAGATTTGTTACACTTTCGGAAGCGTTCTTCATCCGATGTATATATCGTCACTTAAGAATATATTTCACTAGCTATTCTATACTCAATATTAAGCTGAACCATTTTTGCCGCTTTTAAATAAGCTATTTTAAGTGACGTTACAGGAAAGGTTACCTGATATTAAAATGAAGCACTCACTCTAAAATAAGTTCAACTCAACAACAACACCAAGTAAAAGTACTACAACTCACACTGAACGCTTTTAAGGCATATAAAACTAAAAGAGATCCTAAAAAGACTACAAAATTAACAACAAAACGCTAAGACTTTCGAATTCAGTAGTAGAATACGGAAATAGTACTTGAAAATTACAAGTCATTTAAAGATAAAAGCGTAAGTTGTACACGAAAACGATGTATAGATCAACTAATGTAGTAATGATCTATCTCGTAAACCGTGGCAAGTTGAGGTTGAGAGCTAATTTTGGATTCATAGCTTTATCGAAAACTGAAAATTATGACACCAAAACTTAGTTAAGGATGTGCCATCTACTTTACCTTAGCTTCGAAAGGAAACTTTGAAGTTGGAGTATCCTGACAAGGTAGAAGACTACGAGCATGAATAGCTTGACACTGACTGAACATGAACGGTTGACGTCGATCAGCAGTAAGCTGTGGTCCTAGCCACTGGAGAGCAGAAGAATCTGGAGAAGTTTCGTAGTCGATTTTGACATCGTACCTATTAGAAATGGAATAAATTGAGAGTCACATCCAAGACTCACTCATACATGAGAAATAATAGCACTTCAAACAAGATTTAAGCTATTTACAAAAACAATACAACTTACAGATTACGTAGAAGCTTTTACACTAAGCTATCAGCTTTATGAATGGTACAGAAGGTAAATTTTCCTAGCTGGTAAGTCACACTTATTTCCACAAGCAACAATAGTCCCATTTTAATCTCTTATGTTTTTCGGTTATGGTGGAATAACCAGTATTTTGGTCACCACGGTTGGTTTTGTACTTGTGATGAGTTTGATGGGTATTTCAGTGAAATTGCGTGAGTATCCATTTTTTAAAAGAAAGGTCGTTTAGTAATTTTTCTTTGCTTCTTTGTACGGTAGATGGGCTGGCAATATGGCTTCGCTATTTCGGATATGGTTGGTTTGCATACAACTAAGTTCAAGAGTTACAGGTTCGTTGCAATTGAAACTACGGACAAGTGGGTTCCCAAACACTTGAAGCACTAGGTTTCTCTTACTGAATTTAATTATTGATGCATCTATAAATAGCAGTTTAGTTAATTTCTTTTCTGGCGCGTATTCTATGCTAAAATATCAACTAACGAAAAATTTATAACAGACAAGAAAATAAGCTACAAACTACCACTTTTAGATCCACTTCGAATTTATTTTTACCTATTTGAGGTTATATTTGGTATTATTTCTAAACAAGACCCAAAAGCTTGGACAGTAATGGGTTTTAAATGCCATTTCACTGGTTCCGAATTTACGTGCACTGAATGAATCTTTAGGTTCCTTGTATCAAGAAGCTGAAATTTCAAAACACGAAAACTCAACTCAATAATTACATAACACATTTTAAGGGATTTAAATTCATCAAAGAAAATTAATGTGCTATTTTGTTGTTATTCGAGATAAAACCATGATATTGAAGAATGTATTTCACAAAACAACATAGGAGCAGTATAAGGCTGACAAATAATAATGCACGTAATGATAAGAAAGAAAACAATACACAAACGTGCAAGAAAGGCTTAGTAAATTTTCATTTTCAATCTTCATTTTATCACGAGTATCGAATCCCCGATCGTTACTACTTCAAGTCATTTAACAAAATCTTGAGTCATTATTTGCCAGAATCCACCTCAGTCATTATTAATAATAATGATAACCATGGTCTTATTCAATAGTATCTGTTTAGTACTATATAAAATTCTCATCACACGATATTTCAACAAATTTCTTCACGAAAAAAATAAGTAAGTAGATACATATACACGCGAGATAAGAAATTTAGAATTATGTGAAATATTTCTAATAAAATAAGAACCTATTCAACCGTGAGTTAGCAATATGTTCATGAATATAAGCTTTTCATCAGGTTAACTCTTACAACCTGTTCTTATTTTTTTATTTAAACACGTAAATATTGGTACAAGGAGGAATCGAATACATATGTGCCACACTTCATCATTCGATTTGCGTGAAGGCTTGGATACTGTCTGGGTGCCCAGACCGAAGCAGGTGGTTTTCTTAGGGGGCCACTCCCCGAGCCTTCGACCTGAATGTCTGATCCACAAGGCAGTGGATTAATATTAGGAGATACAGTCCCATAGTAGCCGGTGACCAACAATATGTTTATACGCCATTTGTTCCCTCAGGATCCTGGAGCCCATATGCACTATTGGTTTGAAATTAGGGTTTTCCAAATGCCCCAGGTGAACCCTCCATATCCACCAACCCGGTTAAAGCGCCAGACCTGTTCGTCGTATAGTATGTGTTAGGTACGGTCTTTTAAAGCTCTTGTACTTTGTCTGCATGAGTGGATCCTAATGTATCTGCGTCTCTTCCTATCAAAAAATATACAAGGATGAAGATGTAAATGGAGTGTGTGGTTAGCATCTGATGGAATAATACTTGGCAGTCGTTTCCAAGACTTCAGATTTCTATCCACAACCATATTAGCAATAATATTAAAGGATTCACTGTCTTCAGCACTCAATGCAACACAGCAGAATATTTTCTTAAAAGCCCAGGAAATAGTGGGAGACAATGAATTATAATAGGAAACATACAAGAATTTACATATCGTAAAAGTAAATATTAAGTAATATAGAAAGCATGTAGCCTCTTTACACAATAAGCCAGACGGACAATTTTCTGCTGTATTATTAAAACTAGAGAACACGAGAGATCAGAGGAAAAACTTTCACTAAGTTAAATGACCTGTGACATTGTTTCCAGACTATCGTTCAACGAGCAACAAGAACCGATTCATACCAAAAGATTTTGAAGAAGAAACTGGTATACACACAGTGAGACCATTTTGCATACTTAATAAGTGCCTGTTGTATATGAAGAATAGTGAAGAAAAAATGAGAAAGGGAAAGAAGAGAAAGAACAGTACCTTATGGCAGAACACACTTTCCATCAGGCACAACATACTATTCTCTTTCAAGGTAAGAACATAGTTAATTGGTTATTCAGCTGTGGCGCATATATATCTGGTGCCCCCTTGTACCAATGCTTATGTGTTCAAATAAATAAAATAAATAATCAGCTGTTATTTGTTAACGCTGAAAAATTCGCCTGCTAATAGTGGTCTTGGAACAGAGTTAAAGGTAGAGGTATAGTTTAGAAATGAGCATCGAACATACTTCCCACCTTCTTTCAAACTGAATGCTATATTGTGATGCGGCACAGCAGCATCTAAGATATTTCTTTTGTACTTGTAAGCAAACGGATCAATATGCTTTTTTAATCACAAGCCAATTATAATCATCTTCCACTTTATATCACGAATTTACAATCTTTGATTTTAAGCTCTTTTTACAATCAATGAACAAGGCTTAACACACATAGTGACAGCAACGTATTGATAAATAGTGCCAGAATTGCTTTGATCTTGTGGGACAGTCAACAGACGAATGTCTGTAACAGATACATGCACAACAATGTCTATCAGTACAAATTACATTGTCGCTGAGACGTGCCAGCAACACCGGCGAAATGATAGTAATTTTATGAAATTAGGCGTAAATATCTAACAGAAAAGACACTAAATCACAAAGCATAGGGTTATTAAGTACGCTGGAAGAAATACCCAATACTCGGTTAATATTATGGCTAGAAAACAGAATTTAAAGATAACTCAGGGGAAATCGCTTCGAACCATAAATAGATAGCTAATCTAACTTGCTTTTCTTGACGTAAGTCTGCCAGTCAATCAAAAAATGGTGAGTCTGTTTGCCTTAAGTAAACGTTCTAGAATTTTTGACAAATAGATATTATTCATAAATAATTTAGAAGAGACATACAATGTTTGGATTAAGGCTGTCTGGACAAACTTTTTTCAAGAAGATATTGACTGAACCACTGATAGTTTGTGCATTAAAATTTATTTTCCAATCAATTTCCAATTTATCCGTTGTATAAACGCTTGGATCAGAATAAGAAGAATGATCCCGAGTTTCTACCATTCTAGGAACTAAAATGTAAAAATGTATGACTTAGGTATAAATACGTAATTATACTATAAGATGAATAGGAAAATTAAGCACATTCGAATAATCAGTCATATACTACTGGAAAATCGCTCTGTTGAAGAACACAAGCATAGTTTTGGAATTTACATGAGTAGCAAACTTGCTAATAAGTACGTACACAGAAAATAGGACAGCAATACACATAATCAGTCATAAACAACGTAAGTCAAAGAAAATATGCATCCGTATAGGTTGTCACATATCATCTCATTCATTAACGCAAAGCCTGGAACAGATGTACGAGATAACACTAATCATATTCATAAGAGATGGGTCGAACTAATGGTAGCGTATATGATAAGGAAAGTGACTAAACACTGCTCTTTCTAAACCCTTTCTCTTATATTTAGATTCATATCAGAAATGGAATAAGTCCCTCTTCATTTCTTCTTATTTTGTTAACTTCTTACCATTCATACTGTGAAGTATGGGAACGTGGACCGAGAATCATTCGTACTGAGTCCCATGCTGATGCTCAGTGAGAAAAGACAAACCAGAAAAGGAATTAAAAGCATGACATAATATTAAAACTTGAGATCTATGGGATAAACAACGAACGTATTGATCCATTCCTTCCCATTTTGGGGTGTGCAACGTGAGGTTTGAAACCACTGATCCCGATTATTGAGAGTACCCTGATCAGAGTTGGGACCTCTTTACAACCCTTGGGCTGACAGTCGACGATTACGTGGACTAATAACAAATGTTCGGGTGCCCCAAGATTCATCTGAACTTAATTCTTCAACAGTCAGCGTTCAATGGACAGTGGTCAGGTGGTTAAAGTACTCTATTTTCATCCATTAAAGTAGGAACTTAGCTCAAATAACTTTTTCTGAGCCACTGAGTAGTGTCATTAGGCTGTGGTGTGTCACTGCTGTGTAGCTTAAGATTGACTACAGAAAATTGTACTGAATAAATTATATTGTTGTGGTGTTTATTTATTTATTTATTTATTTTAACACATAGATATTGGTACAAGAAGGCACCAAATACATATGCGTCACACAAATCTTACTCGATATGTGCGAGGGCTGTGATACTGCTCGGGTGCCCAAACCGAAGCAGGTGGTTTTCTTAGGGGGCCACTCCCCGAGCCTTTGACCTGAATGTCTGATCCACAAGGCAGTGGAGCATCGTAAGGAGATGCAGTCCCATGGTAGCCGGTGACCAACGATTGGTTCATACGCCATTTGTTCCCGCAGGATACTGGAGCCCATGTGCACCATTGGTTTGGAATCCGGTTAAAGCGCCAGACATTCGCTTTTCGTCCTCTCATTTTCGTAAACAACACCCCCGAAACGAGAAGGCAGTGAGTAGGACTTCCCTGGCAGAGGCTATATACGCGTGGCCATGTGGTGTTTGTATGAACTAATGACTCCTTTGTACTTGATGACTGTCTGATTTCGAATTCCAAATGTAACACGTTCATTTGTGGTCAACTAGTTGTATTTGGTCTAAATTGTGCTATTTTGAGGATTCCTAGTTCGTGTAATAATTCAAATACTTCTAATCATCACATTGGTGTCGATATGGGGTCTGTGCTGGAACAGTTGAACATATATTCGAATTTGGATGCTTTTGAGGGCTATATGGAAAGGTTCGAAATCTGGACTGCAACCAAGGAAAGTTTTGAGGACGTTAATATTGTGGCATTTTTCCTTACATTTATCGGGAGAGAAGCCTAAAGTTAAACAAAAACTTTGGCATTTCCAGAAAAGTCTATTTCACTTCCATATGCAACTCTCAAAGGGGTTCTAATACTAAACCATATAAAGTGTACAAATTCCGAATGTGGTAAAGGAGAAATTTCATAAAATGATTCGTTAGGATATCAAGAATTCTACTACATTATTGAGTGATCCCAACCCGATACGTATTCAGACAAAAATTCATTGAGGAGTTACGAATCAGGTCACGAAGATGAGCACAAGTTTGGAAACTCTTTGTCCTATTGCAAATTTCATTCATGTGTATTTCGTAATGCTAAATGCTTTAAATATGATAAGATAGGATACATTCAGGTAGTTTG